AAGCCTCTGCGCGGCCAGTGTAGTACTTCTGGAAATCCTTCATGTCCTCGATGTGGCATCTGGGTATTTCTCCAAATAGGATATCCAATCCTGTATGACCCTACAGCCCACCCTATACAAACCCTATGTAACCCTGTACAAACCCTATGCCTCATCATGCACAGCAGGACCTGGCCTTTACGGTCTCAAGCCTCTGATGTTGAGCCAGCTGAAGTGTTCATGAATGGATCAAGGGACATGATACAAGTACATATCGAGAGATGTATAGGGATAGGTGTATGTTAATATACAAGGATATAGAGGGACAGACAGCGCTCTAGATCCCTCATTGAAGCAGCAGCCATGACAACCGCACCGACTCTATCGCTTCATGCAGCCCGTCTGCCCGATATTGCGGTGGAACGTACACGTTCTCCAAGTCCTGCCTGGGGTGCATGACGCACAGACCCGGGGTTTGCTGAACATGTGAAGAGTCCTTGACTGCTGCCATTCCAAACATCATCGCAACCAAGCAACTCATCACGGATCGACATGAAGTCTCCGCAGCAGATCAGCAAGTCGATGGTGATGCTTTGCCTCTCCAGCTTCCTGGCCAAGGGAGGCAAGCCCACTACATAGACCCTGCCAATGCACAGGCCCGATGACTAAGTTGGTTGTCATCGGGCAGAGTTCCAGGAGGACAGGAGGAGGCCGTCACCAGGTAACTTCAGAGCACAAATCCGATTCAGCTGGGTACAAGAGACCGGGACATTTTACACCACTACAAGCAAATGAAAAGAATATTCGCCAAACTGCACAATGTAAAGACGGACATGACAGTCAAAATGTGGGCTCTTGCTTTGTATCCCTGACACTTCTAGACATTAAGTGTCGTTGCTCAATACACCCAGGAAGTCCATACGCAAGTCAGCCACTGAGCCGAGCTGCCAGGGCGGCTGGCCAGTTTAGTTCTGTCCATGTAGTGCTGCAGCTTATGAATGGCTCTTTTCCTTGCAAGCTTCCATTGAGTCTTGAAGTAGGCTTCACAAACACATGCGAAGTAAAGACAGCTTCGTCACCAGTAAGGGACCAAGAAAAGGACCCGCGCATAAGTATCGGATATCATGTCTTCCTTGCATGCCCCCAACAAAATCAATGCCCTTAAAGGAGCAGCTCATCTTCAGACACCCCAGAATCATGAACATCCTTTAGGAGGACCCCCCCACCCTGTAATAGTGGCATAAGAGGAATAGGGGTCCACCTAAAACATCCTTCATCTCTAAGTTCCTTGGGCTGCTGGTAGAAAGTAAAATGTCAGCTGGTAACAGAAACTACAAATCCTTTTGAGGAAGCCTCCAGTCATAAGCAGATGAGCCATAATCTAAACTCCCAGTATCCCCCTTAATAACCCCTATAATAGTCCCTACCCCTATTTAACCCCTTCAAGGAGTTTTAGACTATTGCTAAGATGACCAAGCTCCAACCAGCCCTAGCTCCTGCCTTACGGTATCGTAGATGCGGTCCAGCTCGCCATGGCAACACCCAAGCACCTTTATGAGGGTTTCTCGGAATAATGGGATTATACCCTATGGTACTCTAGGGGGTACAGGGATATGATACAGGACATATGAGTTACTGGGCGGTGCCCGGAGATATAACCAGATTCATCATGACAGTTTCCCTCATTGCAGAAGAAAATGGAGCAATGGTCAAGGTTTGAGTTTGAGTTATCAGGAGTAGGCAATTTGACCAGAACAAATAGTGTTGATGGTAAACTGAACACAACACATTTGAGAATACCAGCGCCAGCACGGGGGCATGAGAATCATGTGAAGGAGAAGATGGTCTCTCCGACAACAAGAGTTGAGAGCTATAAACGAAATCACTTCAAGCATCACAAGACTTGGGCTACCCTCTTTGAGTGGCCAAAAAAACCGTTATAGCATGGTGAGCTATTATATTATGCACTCCATAGCAGCTGAGGCACCCCGATCCTCATGGTCGAAAAAGCCTGCCCTGCCTCAGGGGTCAGTGGAGGGTTTCTCAAATCCTGGGTTCCTGGCATTAAAGCTGGCCTTAATGGTCATATTGGAGGGTGTATGAGGACCATGCGAGGACATACCTGCCTGCTGCTGCGGTTGCGTTACCAATATCCACTTGTCCTTAAGATGATGCCCTTTGCCGTGCTTCTTGCCAATGAAAATGGCCGGCATGTACAAGGCTTTATGGGTCAGCTTCAGCTACTACTCGGCCATGCGGAGTCCTGCCTAAACCTATTTTGCTCAAGCAGGAAACAGAGGGGCTGATACTATTTGAGCCGCAAGCTAAGTACGGGGACCCGCACGGTACTGATTGATTGAAATGGTCCGGCTGCAGTTTCCCTTGACTCCCTGTGCTGCTCTACGTACCTAATCTGTATGCAAAACCTCTAGGGGTCCAAGGACCCAAATAACGGGGGTTTAGGGCCCAAATACTATAATATTAATTGCATTTGAGCCCTAAAAACCCTATTATTTGGGTCCTTGGACCCTTCGGGAAACCTACCGTAGGCCCGGAAGCCTGACCCCTAAACCCTAAACTCGGAGCCCTAAGCCGAAACCCTGGGTTGTTTAGGGAGAATGGAAAACAAAATGGAAACTACTTTGTATAGTAGGGGATACTTATATATATATATATAGGGGTTATGTAGGGATAATGGAAAGAAAATGCAAACTACTAAATCATCCTACACCCCTACCCCGATTGCCTGGCAAAGTCCTGTTGATGGTGCGCAGCTGGCCCATGGCACAGCAACTGACTTTGGAGATTTCTCCAAATTATGCGTGCCTTGTAACAAGGCCTTCTTTGGGTCATGTGTCTCCTTTCAGGGGTGGGGGTTTGGTGTCGGAAGACTGGGCTTCGGGAAGCTTAACATTATGGAAACGATGGGCTTCAGGCCTTTAGGCCCTTAAGGGGTTGCATCAAGTACGGTTTTCATGTTCCTTGTCCCAGATAATAGGAGGGCATTGTTCCTGTTTCTTGAGGGATCCAGGGCTCCCGGTAAAGGAAAATGGGGGGTGGCTGTTGAAGAAGGTCCTTGCACTAGCATGCTCTAGCAGATATGCTCAAGCTTTTCAAAAGCATGACAGCGATCACCTCGAAGTGTGAGCTAACTTTGTGCATGAAGGACCAAACACCTGATCAGATCCTGCTGATTGTCATTTTGTATGTGGTGATCTAAACACCGCATTCTGTCGGATTAAAAGCGCAGCACGCGGAAGCCACGCGATAATAACTGCTGCGCTTGTGGCGCAGTTGAAGGACAAGCTGGCAATCAACGTAGAGAGGAGCTTTGGCAACGGACTCAAAAATCGATAGCTACGCTTCTAGTCCATTTCTATCTTACAGGATCCCGAAGTTTTGGGCTGCTCCACCCCACACTTGAAGCACCAAGTCGCTCCTGCTTTTAAAGCAATGTCTGCAGCACACCAGGCAAAAGTGCGCGCACGTTTGCCACCCTCACAAGGCTCGGCATCAGATTGTCAGTCAGTTTGCCGTCAGCTCCTTGAATGCTAGCCAGCCAAGTCGTCCCATAGAACTACGCGCTCAAGATCACTCTCTAGTTCTGCTTCGTGGCCTGGAGTTCAAGGCCATCACAGCTTCGAGCGGTACAGGGATAGGGCAAGCACTCCCAGAAACCTCGGCTGCCAGTTGTATGGAAGAGGGCAATTGCGAGTCACTTTGAAAACAGGAAAACGCAGGCAGCATGCGGGTATGCGGCTTTTGTCTTCTCATTTCAAAATGCCCCCTATTACATACGCTCACAAAGCCACGACCAAGCTCAAACAGTTGCAGCGGACACGCCGCGTCAAAACGTGGAATTGTGCTGTGACCTTACGTATTAGTATCATGCCGTGGCCCCTCGGGTCTTCCGTTGATTAGCGTCAGTACGTTTGTCAGCCCATCACGACAATCTCTCATCTCAGGGACAATCTCTCATCTCAGGGATTCTTACCACCAGCTTGTACTTACTGACTGCAACAGCTGCTTCGAGTTCTTACTCTCACGACTGAAGCTCTCTTCAACCAAGGGGCGCGCCGGCTACAAAGCTACCAGCAGCCACGGAAGCAGAGCGCTTTTTCTCTTCGGCATCGCGTACAACCATAATCCTGAAACGAGGCGAAGCATAGTTGTGGTAGCAGTGGTCGCGGCATTTGTCTAAACGGAAACGTTACAAGCGCTGGCAATCGTGTGCAATGACTAGCGGGCAGAAGCCGAATACACTACAGAAAGAAGTGGTAAGACCATTCATTCACAAGTGTCAGTTCACGCCCTTCAAGATTCCAAGACACTAGCAAAATCAGCCATAGGCTTGCTCGTGGCTACCTGCCGAGGCCGGTGTACACAGAACATCTGCGGCAAGATTCGTTTGCCCCAGCTTGCATCCGGCAGCGTTGCATTCCACTGGGGACTGCCTGCAAGCATGAATCCAGTTGGTGGCCCGCCAACAACTCCCCACAGTGACAACAAGAGCACAACACAGGCAGCAGATGTCCCTTGCTAGTACCCATAGAGGTCAAGACATCCGTAACATTAGCGGCACGGGGTATCTCTCTCTGAACAGGAACGCTGGACTGGAAAGAGCCAGGACAATCTAGCTGCCAGGTTTGAACAACTCACGTACCACAAACTGAGTCAGCTTGGAGTTCCGGACAGCTCTGTCTGCAAAGGCCCCAGAGCTCCCGTAGGACCACGGCCCCTCAAGGAAATAATTCTTACAGCAGGAACAGCACATGACGATAGGCTGCGTGCGAGGCACGGATGGCTTGGAAAAGTCTCAGCGAAAAGGCTCAGCATCCTGACATCACTCATTTTGGCTTCAGGCTTTATCTGCCTTTGACTGGCATGAAAACAATAGTAGATCCCCACAGCCAGGATCCTCGCAATTCGAGAGAACAGCATTGAGGAGAACACAAGCAACACGAGTTCAACTCCTAAGCACTCCGTCGCTGCCAAGGCTGGACAGTATATGTACCACTCGACTATGAGATGTGGAGGCCGGCCATCTCCCGTAAGTGACTAGTGTAAGGATTGAGGCCAAGCGTCGCCAGCGTCGAACGGCGGTCGATCCACTCTGTGTAGTGGTCTCCGCCTCCGCAGGGTAGGAAGAACGCCCCAAAGCTATGCTGCTTGGAGAGATAGCTCAGTGAAACAGGTGCATGTAGAGTCTTGGGTTATCACATCTGGGAACCTGCATTTCATTTGCCATGTGGACAGCAAGACCTCAAAAAGACGGACACAATTGTGGCCCCATGCGCCTGGGGAACCTTTAGGCAGAGCAAAGCCATGAGGGCCACGGGCATGGTTCTCGAAACGCCAGTCGATGCCCTGCGCATCCATTTCCTTGGCTAAATTCGGCTAAATGTGGGGTTCGTAGAAATAGGGACCTCTTCTTGGGGGTCCCCAAACTTCTTTGGAATATGACTTTTTTGGCTAGAGGCAAGATTCTGCAGAGGATGCAGTGTCACATTTTTACCTTCAAAGGAGACCTCCAGATCTACATCCAGGCGAGGTAGGGCTGAACGGAAGGCTCCCGTGCAAGCTTCATGAGTTGTTCCAAGCCCTCACTCGGTCATAGACCAAAAAGGTAGGTCCCGAGTCTGATGAGGCCAAGAAACCTCTTAGTTGGGAAGCCCTCCCAAACAATGAGCATGTCTGACTTCTGCTAGATGATTCAAGCTCTGGACATGCATGTCACTGTCTTCACCCCAGCCGGAAGGACAGCTTCTGCACGCACATTCCTACCTACTAAGGGCCCAGGGTCGTCCACAAAGTCGACAATGGTATCTTGGGGCACCTCTCCATCATGCGCGCCATTCTGGATTAGAACGCGGGTGGCCGTGTTGTACCTTGGCTCTTTCCGCTGTTGAAGGGACAAGCAAGCTCTCAAGCGGATAGGTCTCAGTGAGGAGTCAAGAGTGAAGGGTTTGCGCCTAAAATCATTGATGGGCATGAGAGCACGTGACACTGGCATGATAGCTATGTAGTAGGACACTCTGGTAAAACACTGGCGGCAGTAGGGTGCTCCCGAAACTTGTCAGAGGTGATGTTTCTACTCTGGCAGTCCTTGGCAAGAATCTCTTTATCGCGGTAGGACTTGTGACAACTTATGATATTCGCGCAAGCCATTTTGCAACTTGAGCCTTTAGAGCCGCTGAGGCGCTTGTTGGGGACCGCCAATTCCTTGGCGTACTCCTCCTTCGAGATGCGCTTCCTGAGCTGCAAATGTTTCAGAAAAGGACAATTCTCTTCAACAACGTGATGTAGGGGATACATAGGGCTTGTAGGATTAGTAACACAATTCATGATGCTAGTGTAAATAATGGAAAAGACCATGGAAGCCAATATAATTTATTGGGGGCTGTCTTTTGGGCGCACATCGGTCGTAAAACAAGCCATACACGGAGCAGCCCCAAGTTTATGCCGGCTGACTGCTATAAGGATCCTGAAAACAAGGGAAAATAGTTCTAACACATTCTCCAAAGGTACTTAGACATTTTGCCCCCTCCCCTAAATGGGAAGGGTTTAGAAGGGTCTGGGGAGGCATCGTTTTTTTTCACAGTCTTTTTGTCATGATGGTTCGACCTTGTAGGAGCCGGCGCCCTAATCCCAAGTCATTACAAGAACAATTTTGCTGATCTGACATGTCAGAGAAGGCATCTTCAGATCCCTGACCTTATAATCGACCACAATCGGTTTCAGTACCACTCAGCCACGAAACTGTTGGAGACACTGATGAATACAGATTCCATCTGTGAGCTTTCAAACACCAAGCCTACAGGCTTTGGCAGGTGGAGCTCCTCCATCCAAGTCAAGGCCAAGCGTCAAGGATTTGGGCTTGTGAAAGCAAGCCATGACCCGGAAAATCCCGGAAAGTAAGAAAGTTGCCCAACGTAAACTTGAAAATGAGAAGCCAGCAGAGCTGGTACCGCAAAACCCAGTGTGCAACTGGGTTAATCGAGTACTTCACATTCTCGATTCCCATGTATCTCCCGTGAGGTCTCAGGTTCCATCGTAGCTGTCGTCTTTTTTTTGATGTCGAAATGCCAACAGTGCCAACAATCACGTGGATGGTGAGCGTCCTGGTCACGATCCGCGAACTGTCATTGCTTTTCAATGTTGCAGATCTCGACAATGCCAGCAGTCACAGGGATGGTGCATGTCCTTCACCAGCCACACCACAGGGGCAGAAGGCGAAGATGTGACCAACCTATGCAAACACTCAATGCTGAAATGCTACAGGCCTCAAGTTCCACATCAGGGCTGCTTCAAGTAGGCGGTTGCTGCACAGTGAGATTGAGTTGTAATTGGTGACAGTTGCAGGTTGAGGAAAGCCACCCACGCCACAGGGGGAAGGGGAAAGATCTGAATGATTTCAGCAAAGAATGATGATAGACATTGATGGAAGACCACCACCCACACCACAAGAGAGGGAGAAGGTCTGAATGTTTCTAGCCACAGATGCTGTAGGTTTGGCAGGAAGAGCAGCCACCAAGGTGGCGGGGCAAGATCCGAGTCAAGTGACAGCCATGGGAGAAAGAAAGCCCACAGAGCTGGATGACCTCAACAAAATGCTAGACTTCATACTGCAATGCGACCCGAAGGTAACTACCAGAATGCGCTCAACTGTGGGACCTTATGGTAGCATACCATTGGGGCGCTTCAGGCATCTGTTCAGACAACCATTGAGGTATGCCTTGTGGGAAACTTCCTATTGCTTTTTACAAGCGGTCTTCCTCCAGCCATGCACCTCGAAATCCTCTGCCCGAAAGCACCCTAGAGGTATGAAGTTCCATCCGAGGCACGCACGCAGAGGGCAGCATGATGGGCAGCTTAGAATTTTGCTCCAGTGGCTTGGCTGCAGGGTTATCAGCCAGGCTGTTTTCCGTCGGCATGCTCAGATTTGAATTGAAGTGGTGTCAGGCGTGAGGGAAAGTGTTTTGTACAACAATGGCAGGGTCTGCTCAGGGCTGCTAGCAGTGTTTGTTAGCTGATCAAGGTACGCTGGGCTGTCGGCTCATACTCGTCTTGGGGCACACTGAGTGCAAGGCCCTTACCAGCGCAACGAGGACGCTGGGTTTGCAGCTAGCGCTTGATCAGGACGCGAGCTGCATGGAGGTGCTGCCAAGAGCTTCAGAAACTTGCTTTTTGTTTCGAGGACTTTCTTCGAGGCGCGGGCAGCCGGCAGGAGTCTCATAGGGCAAAAAGGCTTGCTCAGGGACCTGGCAGAGTTGGCCGAAAAGACAGCCGACAGCATGCCTGGGGCTTCCATGGAGGAGGCTGTGGAGTGTGGAAGGGTTTTTTTCAAAAGTTAGAGTAAGATGAAAGGGCGGCAGGGTTGGCGCAACCTGATAGGATGCGTTGAATTCAGTTGGCCGTGTGGCAGACGCCCGTCCCCAGGTAGCCGCTGAGTTGGTTAAGGCGAACATCTTGAACACCATCAACTTTTTGCTCGAGTTCAGTGATGTTATTCGAGACCTCGTTCGGGGTGGACAGCTGGAGATTATTGGTGGCCTCTTTGATCTGCAGACAGGCAGGGTGGACTTTCTGGGTCCCTCTCCCGACCAGGCTGCTCTGCTGGATCCAATGGCCTCCAAGGGAGGTGCACCTCTCAGCCAGCCAAGCTTAAGCCAAGCTCAGAGCCAAAGCCAGAACTTGGCCCAGAGCTCAGAGCCCCGCGAGCCCCGCTCCACGAGCACGGCGAGCGCGGCTGGTACGCCGGCGGCAGCCCTGAAAAGACTTCAGGAGGGCAACGCCCGTTTCACACTTGGCAGCTCCAGGCTTCTCGAGCAGAAAGAATTAGCCTTTTTTTTGCTTTTGGCTCTGAGGCATGCTGAGGGGTAAGAGTTTGTTGATCAACTGGAATTCAGAGTCTCCAGGTTCTCCAGGCAGGACATGCGCAAGGCCTTGTCCAGTTGCCCGCAGCAGAGCTACAGCGCTATCGTGGGTTGCGCCGATGCGCGCACGCCCATCGACAGCATTTTCGATACCCTGCCCGGCGAGCTTTTCGTGGTCAGGAACGCGGGCAATACATGCTTCTAGGCTCCTCTAATTCCATTGTTTCTGTTTCTGGGTAGAGTATTTACATCTTATCCAAAGACAGAATACAGACTCAGGCACGCAGGCGGAGGGCAGCGTCATCGGGAGCTTGGAGTTTTGCACCTCCAAGTTAGAGACCCGCCTGATCCTTGTTTTAGGCCATAGCGACTGCAGTGCCATTGCGGGGGCCACTCGGATGTTCCTGGCCTCCAGGTCGACACTTTGCAAACCGAAAGCATGGCTCTTGTGATTTGCAGTGATAGATGTCAAAGCCAATGCAAAGCCAACACCCAAGCCACTCAGCCAGAGAACGCCGCCGAGGGACAGCCAGAAACCCTGAGATACCTTCAAACCAAATTTCTGAATCCTGAATACTGGTGTATTCGCGAGAGAAACAAACCAAGTATTCTGGACCATGTTCCCTGTAAAACCTGGCATAACCCATCGGCATCGTTCGTATAGTCTCCCCAGATCCCTTAGCCTACCTACTCGGCATAAACGTAAACACCAGTATGTAGTCCCGGTTTCCGTTTCATTTGTCATTTTCTTTTCCATTTCTGCAATCTCCCTGACAAAGCTGTATGTAAGCTCGCTAATATCCCTCTAATTTATAGGGTTTCTTTTTTTTTGAACCCTGAATAGGTCTGGGCAGACCTCGGAGTCGAGGGGGCCAGCCCTGGATGGGCTCCTCCAGGACACGGGTAGATACGCAGCAATAATGGAACAGAAAACGGACACTAGAATTTAGGGTGGGGTGTTCAGGACAGATTATTTATGCACACATGTCTTCATAGCCTTATAGGAATTACAGAGGGATGGGCTCCAGGACCTGATGGCGGTGATCGCCCGGGCCAGCAGCCTTTATCCACAGGCGCGACCTTAAGAGGATTATTATTGGTGTACGTATTTCGATTATGATGATCCTTCTCTTTTTTTTACCATGGCCTTTTGGGATTCTGAGATGCAAATAATGCCTGAGGCTAGTGCGGAGGAGTTGGCACAGCATGCCGTGAAGCTCAACGTGGACAATACCATGGAGTTGCTTCTCCGCAGTGAAGCCCTGAAGGACGCAGGGTCTTCACGTGTTCGTGAAACCAGCCCAGCTTATGAACTCCTGGAAGTGGCCCCAACAGCGTGCTTGTAGCTTCACCCAGCTGATTTCTGACAGGACCTAGTGCGCAAGGGCGACTTGGAGATCCAGGGGGGTGTCTACCATGCCGAGACTTAGCGGTGCTTAGGTAAAGGATTTCTTACTAAAGTCTGAGCGGCCACACCCTAAACCTGTGCACTCCAAATCTCTCAGGAGACAGGTGCCGTGGACTTCCTGGGCCACTGCCACCGGCAAGCAGAAATCATGGCCACCCCCAGCTTGCCCCTCCGTGAGGAGTCTAGGCCAAAGCTTGGCCTTGCTAAGTCGAGGTGGTTGAGGGTTAAGTTTTAAGGCTTAGGGTTTAGGGTTGTAAAGCCGTCGCCCACTGTAAAAGAGCATCTCGACTAAAGATCTTGGGTTATGCGCGAGTTGTGTGTGAGGGACAAATGCTTCAGCCTTGAGCCTAGATCTCCATGGAAGGTGCACGTCTTGACGAGGGTAGGTTTGAAAATTATTCTTAATTTCTATTACCCTTCGTCCCTATTCCGTCCCCATAGCTCTATACATCCTTTAAAGGGCCCCTGAACCTACCCTAGTTAAGTCCTTTGTGCTCAGGAAGCTTTGTCTGACGAAGATGCGGTGGCTCCCACTGCAGAGGTGGCCGGGGGAAGAACGTCCACGTGTGAGGGATGGGTGACGGTAGGCTTGAGTGAGGGCTCCACTGTTTATAAAAGGCAATTATTTACTTCGAGCATCCCCACCGTAAAGCCGTTATTGCACAAGAAGTG